TGCCAATATCCCAAACCCCTCCTTTAAAGTGCAGGCATTGTACTTCCCATTTCCAGGACTCAAGTCCGACTATATGAAAATAACCGGTTTCCCTGAATCCCTTCACTAAATATTACCCTGCTCACACTCCAACAGATCGTCAGGTCCCAAGTACCATTCGTCTCCATTCACTCCTATCTAACATGCTCACGCATGCTTGCTGGAAGTCCAAGCCCCTTGCCCACAAAACTTCCTTTACCCCCTCCTTCCAACTTTTTCGAGGACAACCCCTGCCCCGCCATCCATCCCTTACAATCAGCTCTAATATACATTATTTAAGTATGCATACTGGTCAGAGAGCCTGCTGTAAGTCCAAGTCATCGGTAAACGAGTATGTTGCTAAGTGAGGAGAGGCTGCATTTTTTTCAATACTCAAACACAAGTAATAGCTTTATTTCAACATTGAAATGTCTGTCCAATACATATATATTTATATATATATATATATATATATATATATATAATATATATATATATATATATATATATATATATATATATATATATATATATATATATATATATATATATATATATATATACACATACATACATACATACATATATATATATATACATGTATATATACATACAGTGGACCCCCGCTTAACGATCACCTCCAAATGCGACCAATTATGTAAGTGTATTTATGTAAGTGCGTTTGTACGTGTATGTTTGAGGGTCTGAAATGGACTAATCTACTTCACAATATTCCTTATGGGAAAAAATTCGGTCAGTACTGGCACCTGAACATACTACTGGAATGAAAAAAGTTCGTTAACCGGGGGTCCACTGTATATATATATATATATATATATATATATATATATATATATATATATATATATATATATATATATATATACAGTGGACCCCCGGTTAACGAACTTTTTTCATTCCAGTAGTATGTTCAGGTGCCAGTACTGACCGAATTTTTTCCCATAAGGAATATTGTGAAGTAGATTAGTCCATTTCAGACCCCCAAACATACACGTACAAACGCACTTACATAAATACACTTACATAATTGGTCGCATTCGGAGGTAATCGTTATGCGGGGGTCCACTGTATATATATATATATACGTATATATAAATATATATATATATATATATATATATATATATATATATATATATATATATATATATATATATATAATATTTTTTTTTTCAACAAACCGGCCGTATCCCACCAAGGCAGGGTGGCCCAAAAAGAAAAACAGAAGTTTATCTTTTTAAATTTAGTAATTTATACAGGAGAAGGGGTTACCAGCCCCTTGCTCCCGGCATTTTAGTCGCCTCTTACAACACGCGTGGCTTACGGAGGAAGAATTCTGTTCCACTTCCCCATGGAGATAAGAGGAAATAAGCAAGAATAAGAACTAGAAAGAAAATAGAAGAAAACCCAGAGGGGTATGTATATATGTGCTTGTTCATGTATGTGTAGTGTGACCTAGGTGTAAGTAGAAGTAGCAAGACATACCTGAAATCTTGCATGTTCATGAGACAGAAAAAAGGACACCAGCAATCCTACCATTATGTAAAACAATTACAGAAAAAAGGACACCAGCAATCCTACCATCATGTAAAACAATTACATGATGGTAGGATTGCTGATGTCCTTTTTTCTGTCTCATAAACATGCAAGATTTCAGGTATGTCTTGGTACTTCTACTTACACTTAGGTCACACTACACATATATGTACAAGCACATATATACACACCCCTCTGGGTTTTCTTCTATTTTCTTTCTAGTTCTTATTCTTGTTCATTTCCTCTTATCTCCATGGGGAAGTGGAACAGAATTCTTCCTCCGTAAGCCATGCGTGTTGGAAGAGGCGACTAAAATGCCGGGAGCACGGGGCTAGTAACCTCTTCTCCTGTATATATTACTAAATGTAAAAGGAGAAACTTTCGTTTTTTCCTTTTGGGCCACCCCGCCTCGGTGGGATACGGCCGGTGTGTTGAAAGAAAGAAAGATATAAAATCATTGTTGTTTCTAATATATTTGAATTTCATAACAATAAGAAGTGCACAGTTTACTCTGGATCATAAGTCAGTTTGCTTTGAGATTAAGTTTATTTTAAAACAAACATTTTTTAAGCTTAGTAAAATTTGAATTAACAACAATGGTTAAAATTTATACTTATTATAACATTCAAAAAATAGCACTAAACCCATTTGGGTTATCCAGTGCTTTCAAATATATAAGTGATGAAGAGTGTCTTCCGTCTGGAGGAAAAATTATACAAGTTAGGGACATTCATAGGTATCTATCCACTATTTATAAAAGCACTCTCTGTTAGCTAATTTTGAAGTTATGTTTCCTACTATATATAGTTTATATGTCATATAGAAAAAAAACTTTGGAGGCTAAAATAAGGATGCTCTGGTATCTGCCTTCAGAGTAAAAAAAAAAATCTTGGAAAGAAATCATTTTATTTTTGGGTTTCTTTAGGACTGCTTCCTTCTTGACACTGGTGTTGGCGTCTATGTCTGGATTGGCAGTGCCTCCAGCAAGAAGGAAAAAATTAAAAGTATGGAGATGGCAGGTAAGTGTCGTGATGGTGTCGACACAGGGTGAACAATTGCATTCGAGTTGAGTGATTTCTTTTTGAGCAGCTGTCATAAATCTTGCAAAGTACAGAATTTGTGCCCTATATGCTGAATTTTTTTTTTTGTACAGTAGTACCATAACCTAAAGGTTTTTCTTACTGAAAACAACATTCAGCATGTTATAATTCTTTATGCCTTAAAGTTTTAGTAGAGCTCTTGTCCTCAAATGCAAATACTGCTATTTGTTTTAATTGCTCTACATTGATAGTTTCAGTGTGGGATCTTTTAAGAAAGAATTTAATTCTTGAAATGTAATCACAAGTAAGTTTTCAATTAAAATTATTTTTTTTAGCTCAGTATATGGAACAGAAAGGATATCCTAAGTGGATGAACATCCAGCGTGTGGTTGAAAAGGCAGAGCCAGCTGTGTTTAAAGCCTACTTCAAGACATGGAAGGAACCACAGGAACAAATTGGTTTTGGTCGTGTATTCACTCAGCGACAGATGTCTGCAGGTTAGCCTTATGAGAAGTTTGTCAGTGATCCAGTTATTGACACACAGCCAGTGATCATTTCCTATTGTTTTCAACCTGCAAAGATCCACACTTTCATTTCTTCAGTGTTATAATGCTTTATATCAAATTTTTATGTTCTTTAGTTTTACAATATAATAATACAAAATAGGATTTAATAAATGTGATATGTTAATTATTATACACGTACAGTGTTGTGGGCAAATTAACAGCCAATTGTAGGCTGCATGGAAAAAAAATCATTGTTAACTTTGGATATCTAAATATTTTAGTTATTCAACAATCCTGGGACCTAAGTTGTTTATATATTGACTGTCCATTATTTCTATTTGCACCTTATGGAATGATTAGTTATAATTATTTATTTCACTATACATATTTTATATAGCAGTCATTGTGAGCAATACTATCATTTCTTGTCGTTAAATATATGGCAATACTAGTCTATTTTAAACATAGGATTCTATAAGAATCTGTGTATATGCTGCATTGCTTATACAGCCTCTCCTCACTTAGCGACGTACTCATTTACCGATGACTCGGACTAATGACGGGCTCTCTGACCAGCATGCATACATAAATAATGTATAATAGAGCTGATTTTCTCTATTCTGTTTATTACACTATACAGTACACTATTGTATAAACATTTAAAAATATACTAAAAATGTTATGAATGGTGCAAAGGTGACATTAAAACAATATTAACCCCTTGACTGTCGCAACCCCCAATCCTGAGGTGTCTCCTGGTGTCGCAAAATTTAACCCTTTAACTGTCGCGGCTGTATATATACGTCTTACGAGGTACCGTGTTTGGCGTATATATACTCATAAATTCAAGTGGCTTCAAATCAAGCAGGAGAAAGCTGGTAGGCCCACATGTGAGAGAATGGGTCTGTGTGGTCAGTGTGCACCATATAAAAAAAATCTTGGAGCATGCAGTGCATAATGAGAAAAAAAACTCCGACCGTTTTTTTTAATTAAAATGCCGACTTTGTGGTCTATTTTCGTATAGTATTTATGGTTGTATTCTCGTTTTCTTGGTCTCATTTGATAGAATGGAAAACATATTATAGAAATAGAGGTGATTTTGATTGATTTTACTATAAAAAGAACCTAGAAATGGAGCTCAAAGTAGGGGAAATTTTTTATTTTTGCCAATGTTCAAAAGTAAACAAATGATGTCATTGTCCAATAAATGTCCAACTAGCCATTCTAATATGCAGTCATGAATGGGTTGATGTTATTTATACAATTATTACAGTATTGCAGTAGTCTGCATAATAGTAAGTCTTCTATTTTTTGTTTGAATAAAAATTCAAAATAGAAAGCAAGAGTAATATCAGAGGGGCCTGGAGACATGACTGATGAACAAAGAAAATGTTATTTTAGAGCCAGGAATGTCTGCATTGTTCATTCAGGACCTTATTTTGAAATTGTCATATTTTTTTAGTTTTCGTGAAATTGGCCAAATTGCAAATTTCTGACCATATTATTAGATAGTTGAAATCGGTAAATGGGCAGTTTCTTGTACTCAATCGATAGAGAAAATGGAGTTCTAAAGAAATAGCTATGAGTTTGGGCGACTGGAACAATGGAATTAGCCGAAAATAGGGCATTTCAGACCCCCAAAATTGCACTAACAAAAGTACTTACAATAATACACTTAATAATTGTTCGAGTTGGGAGCTGTATGAAACTCGGGGTACCACTGTACATTGAAAACAACATACAATAGGTTTTTCCTGTAATATATTTGTCAGTTGCAAATTATTTTGGCATAAGGGTGATGAAGTCGTACATCTGGCAGTGAGCATCTGGGGGGACTGCAGCTTCTATGGATGAGCCACCACTGATGGTGGATTAGTTCCAGGACCCCCTGTGGATACTAAAATCCACAGATGCTCAAGTCCCTTATATAAAATGGCGTAGTATTTACATATAACCTACACACATCCTCCCATATGCTTTAAATCTTCTCTAGATTACTTATAATACCTAATACATTGTAAACACTGTAAATAGTTGTTATACTATATTGTTTAGGGAGTGATGATGATGCTCACCAAAACTCCCATGATCTTCAAGTTCTTGAGGCTTTAGCACTTTACATAGCTAGCCAGCCATCCCTTGCTAACCTTAAACTCATAGAGGCTAAGTGCTTTTTCATGCATAATTTTGCCATCAACAGAGATATGCTACTGTGACATATCCTCTAACCACACACTTAGTGCTTTCTCAGTCTTTGCAGGCACTTTATCATGAACCAGAGAGACCATTTTTGCTGTTGTAAGGGAAGCACTAACACTTCCATGAATTTCAGCTTCTTTCTGCCTTATTGTGTAAATGCCCAATTCATTCTTACCAGCCTTACTGCCCACTTATTTTCTCGTCGAGAGAGAGCACTTCGCTCTCCCTTTTAGCCTTTGAGGGATGCTTTGACCATCTAATTGTTTTTAAGGAGCCATTTTACAGAAACATTTCGCCTACACATCAGTTCATCTGCCTGGATTCAGTGTAGTGCTTGGCATGTGGCAAATTCAAATTTTGCTTTCTGGAACTTTCTGGAAATTTTTTCTAGTATTTTCAATTCATAGTTGGTTGAATATGTGGATGTGGAACATGTGGATATGGAAGGCCGACTATATATTTTGTAACCATGGAAGTAATGAATTAGTGTAAATTGTTCGTTCATCAGAGTTTACTTGTATTTCAAATCAAATCATATCAGGTTTATTTCAACATGGTACATTGTTTATACAGAAATGAATGACACTTGAAGAGCATGTTGAAAGTCCAGAGTTATGTAGAGCACTTCAGGCAAACTTAAGACTAGAAGAGTACAGTGGACCCGCGGTTAACGATATTTTTTCACTCCAGAAGTATGTTCAGGTGCCAGTACTGACCGAATTTGTTACCATAAGAAATATTGTGAAGTAGATTAGTCCATTTCAGACCCCCAAACATACACATACAAACGCACTTACATAAATACACTTACATAATTGGTCACATTCAGAGGTAATCGTTATGCGGGGGTCCACTGTATATCATCGTACATGATTATAAGAAATCATAGTTGGGTTATAGTCTAGAAAGTTTATGGGAATTGTCACAGTTGCTCTTTGCTGTTGACACTGTGCCTTTGGGAGATTCTGAAGAGAAGTTGCAGAGGTTGGTGGATGAGTTTGGTAGGGTGTGTAAAAAAAGAAAATTAAAAGTGAATATAGGAAAGAGTAAGGTGATGAGGACAAAAAAAAATTGTAATGAAAGATTGGATATCAGGTTGGAGGGAGAGAGTATGGAGGGGGTGAATGTATTCAAATATTTAGTAGTGAACATGTCAGCAGATGGGTCTATGAAAGATGAGGTGACTCATAGAATTGATGAGGAGAAAAAGGTGAGTGGTGCATTGAGAAGTCTGTTGAGACAAAGAACCTTATCCATGGAAGCAAAGAGGGGAATGTATGTGTTGCAACCCCTGAATGGGTTACAATGATTATTATGTATATATGTAATGTATATTACCTTTTCATATAATTTTATATTGCTTACATTTGCGATTTAGCTATTATCGCAAATATAAGCAATATAAAATTATATGAAAAGGTAATATACATTACATATATACATAATAATCATTGTAACCCATTCAGGGGTTGCAACACCCCCCCCCAACACGACAGAGGGTCGCACTAGGAGTTGCATTAATGTCTTTCACAGCGTCCATCACTAGGATATGCCCCTAGTACTAGGGCAGTACTATGTTCAGCATAGGAAAAACGTGACTGTGACAATACACAGAAACCAGTACAAAATTAGGTCAGAAGCTATAGCTAAGGACCTGATTTTGTACTGGTTTCTGTGTATTGTCACAGTCACGTTTTTCCTATGCTGAACATAGATTCAGTAGTATGGGAGTTTTGTAACTTTTGTGGAGGATCTGCTGATGGTCCCTACTTAGTGTCGTTATATTATTTCCCAGTTCCTGATTCTGTGTCGCAGTCGCTTGATATTGCATTGCTATTGGGCTTAGCATTCTTTGTTGTTCAAGCAGACTGTTCAGGTTGCCAGTCGGTCAAGAAGTTAGTTTATTTGAGGACTTTGTCAGTCACTTGTTTAAGTCTTATTCGAGTCTTGAGACATAGCTAACTACTTAAGAGCACTTACACGCATACTCACACTTACTTGTACATATTTGTAATATCTTGTTAAATGTTAATGTACCTGACGGTACTTAAGAATTATAAATGTGATATGTGCTTTCAGCACAATAATATTGAACTCGAGAGATTGATTTTATTTTGATTGCTGTGATTTAATTTACTTTGATAATATACCTCTAGACTTAATAAATTTATTAAATTTTAATTTCTCTAGTTAGTAGCCTACCAGTTGTAATCCTGAAGCACTATTGAATAATACTGAATTTTAATAGATAATTGGACAAGGATACTGACTACTTGTTACGAAAACCCAGTAACAGGCTGGATGCTAGAAGGGCAGTCCTTTCTAGTATTCACTGGAGATCTCTAAGCTTTTAGAATCGCGTTTTTTGTAACAGTATGAGAGTATACTTATACTATGCTTTTATACGGGTGTGAAGCATGGGTGGTGAATGTTGCAACAAGGAGAAGGCTGGAGGCAGTGGAGATGTCGTGTCTGAGGGTAATGTGTAGTGTGAATATAATGCAGAGAATTCATAGTTTGGAAATTAGGAGGAGGTGTGGGATTACCAAAACTATTATCCAGAGGGCTGAGGAGGGGTTGTTGAGGTGGTTCAGACATGTAGAGAGGATGAAAGAAAATAGAATAACTTCGAGTGTGTATAAATCTGTAGTGGAGGGAAGGCGGGGTAGAGGTCGGCCTAGGAAAGGGTGGAGGGAGGGGGTAAAGGAGGTTTTGTGTGCGATGGGTTTGGACTTTCAGAAAGCATGCGTGAGCGTGTTAGATAGGAGAGAATGGAGACAAATGGTTTTAGAACTTGATGTGCTGTTGAAGTGTAAGCAGGGTAAATATAATATAATATATGAAGGGATTCAGGGAAACCAGCAGGCCGGACTTGAGTCCTGGAGATGGGAAGTACAGTGCCTGCACTCTGAAGGAAGGTTGTTAATGTTGCAGTTTCATAACTGTAGTGTAAACTCATCTCTGGCAAGACAGTGATGGAGTGAATGACGGAGAAAGTTTTTCTTTTTTTGGGCCACCCTACCTTGGTAGGAAATGGCCAATGTGTTTATAATAAAAAAAAATGTTTGTAGGTACTATCTTTTACATTAATTATGAATACAAGTGATATTAATTGTTTGTCTTTCCAGTTTCAGCAACAGAGACAGACTTTGATGTTCGGTCACTGCATGCAGAGAAACGTCGTCTCTTGCAGAAGAATGCTGGACCTGCTTTTGGCTTCATGCCAGATGATGGTTCTGGCAAGGTTAGTACAATACCTGGATTACCAAAAGATTTGATTGGCGAGACAATTTGTTTTTGTAGCAAAGCCAACACAGCAACCTGAACCTAATCTTGGAAAAGTATAAATAATGTAAGGTAACTTATATGTTTAGACCAAAAAAAAAGTACGAATGATGCTATTATACAAATGCTTGAACTAATATATACAGCCCTTGATAAAAATGAATATCCTCTGGGGTTTTTCATTGACCTACAAAAAGCATTGATACAGTGGACCACAATCTCCTGCACCTAAAACTAGATCATTACGGCATCAGAGGACATTTCCTTGATTACCTAAAATCTTATCTTAATGACAGACACCAGTATGTATATGCAAATGGAGTCAACTCCACTATTCAGTCTGTAGCTGTCAGAGTGCCCCAGGGTAGTGTCCTAGGTCCACTTCTCTTTCTCATCTACATCAATGATCTTTCCAGTGCATCCCAACTCCTTCAACCAGTTCTATTCGCAGATGACACTACTTATGTCTACCCCCACTCAAACCCAGCTATACTTAGAAACATTGTAAACAACGAGCTGCTAAAAATATATACTTGGATGATGACCAACAAACTCACTCTCAAAATAGGCAAAACATACTTCATGCTGTTTGGAAACAGAGCCTTAAATATCCATCTTAATATATCGATAAATGGTTCCCCTATTTCAAGATACACTGAGGGTAAATTTCTAGGTCTTCTCCTTGACTGTAATCTTAAATTTCATTCCCACATCCAACATATTTCCAAGAAAATTTCCAAATCAGTAAGCATCCTTTCCGAGATACGATACTATGTACCCCAAATGACACTCCTTACTCTATACTACTCTTTAACCCTTAAACTGTCCAAATGTAGATATACATTTGCTCGTGTAGCGCTCCGAACGTAGATCGGTGTTTTATTTTTCATTCCTTCAAAATTGGGGCAATAGGCCTGGGTCGCCTAGACACGAGAGAATGGGTCTTAACACTTGGTGTGCGCAGTAATAAAAAAATCTAGGACCACTTAGTACCTTGTGGGAGCACCAATCCAACTGAATGCCAGCTAGAGCAAATAGCGTGGCAAACACCAGGGATTCACTGATAACATTTCACATTAACACTCCCCTTTTAGGAGGAAAGCAAAATTGGTTAGATAAATACATGAGTGGGTGTGGGTGGGTGTGAATTGGACCTGACTAGCTTGTGGTACTAGGTCTGATGCCATGCTCCTTCCTTCAGTGGATGTGAACTGACTAGGTGGGTTATTGGTCTAAGCCAAGGGGTGACATGGACCTGCCTTGCATGGGACAGTAGGCCTGCTGTAGTGTTCCTTCTTTCTTATGTTCTTACGTATTCGGCAGGCTGGCTGGCTGGCTTTGGCTATCTCTCTGTCTATATCTCTGTCTATCTGTCTATATATCTGTTTGTTTATATCTCTGTCCATCTGTCTATATCTCTGTCTCTCTTTCACATGTACACATAAGTACAGTTATTTTACATAGTTACCTAGGATAACCCAAAAATTCCAGGCGAAGTGCCAATCACAGATGCGGTCAGCTGGTGGGTTCTGGATATTGCAACGTGGTTGTGGTTGTGCAGGTTGTGGTTGTTGTGGAAGTGTGGGGTCGGGTGAGGCTGGTTGTAGTTGTGCAGAGTCAGCAGCGTGGGTAGTAGCGTGGCCCGCTGCTGGTGTCACATGACTCGTGCCACCATCACTATCACCACCACCGCCTGCTGCCTCACTAGCATCACTGATACCCATCGTAACATTATCGTCATCTTCACTATCAGGTCATGGTGTAGGGCCACGGGATGTGCTCCAAGATGTACTCCTTCCTCTTGGAAGAGCATATGGCACACTACCAGACCTCATGCGACGTCGTATATACTGCCGCTTCACTGGGGAATATTCACCCTCACTGTCACAACTAGAACTGCTTTCACTAACCTTGAAATCACTATCACTATCACTTACACTGCTCACATCTGAGTCTTGTACACAGGCAAATACTTTCCTCTTTCGTCCTGGTACAGGTGAACATGAACAAGCCGGCCCAGCACCAGAGGTGGAAGGTTGTGGGTCATCTGGGTTTTCATCACTAATTACGTTATCCTGGGCTTTTTTTTTGGTCACACCTGCTTCAAAACCAGGGAATTCACTTTCACTGACACTTTCATGGCTGTTAGAGTTATCACTTGGGAACAAAAGACCAGTTCGCTGAGGAGTGAGGAACTTCTTACCGCGAGGCATGGTGAAAATGGACTACCAAGATGGCGTTCCCACAATGCACCGCTGAGTCCCAAATTTTTTTCACAGGGTGCACACCCACCACTGAGACCCATTCTCTCTCATGTAGGCCTACCAGCCCTCTCCCGTTTGATTTGAAACCACTAGAATTTATGCGTATATATACGTCAAACACGGTATCTCCCATGACGTATATATACGACCGCGACAGTCAAGGGGTTAAAAGCCAGGAGGTCACATGATAAAACTAGCCAGTAGATGTTTGGTTGATTTGGTTAATATTGTGAGATAAGATGATTTTTTAGCAGAGTCCTAAATTTATAAGTTGTCTGGGGATCCTTGACTTGTTCCGGTAGCGAGTTCCAGATGTTTGGGCCTTTTATGTGCATAGCGTTCTTGCATAGTGAGAGTTTTACTCGAGGGATGTTGAAAAGGGCCTTATGCCTTGTATTGTGACTGTGCATTCTGTTGTAACTGTCAAGGAGTAGTTTTAGGGGGGGGGGTTTACACTGGAGTTTAAAGTTCTGTATATGTAGTAGGCACAATAATAAGAGTGTATGTCTTGTATATTTAGCAAGTTGAGTCTTTTGAAAAGTGGTGGGGTGTGCTGTCTAGCACATCATCAAGTGACGTGACATCAAGTGATGTCAGTAGTTCACTGACACTTGCCATAACACCATTCTTCAAGGAGTTTCATATATACTCCAAGCACACACAGGCAGATAGAAAGACAGATAAGCAGAGCTAGACAAACAGATAAACAGAGCTAGACAGACACAGACAGACAGGCATGTTTGTGTGTAACAGTGAAAAGAAATAAAGCAAAGGTTCTCTGAGTGCACATTCATCAAGTGTCACTTCCTGTCAGCAGTTTACTGACACTTGTCATAACACCATTCTTCAAGGTATACTCCAGTATGGCTAAAACATTACTGGGACCTATAAATACAGTGGACCCCCGCTTAACGATCACCTCCAAATGCGACCAATTATGTAAGTGTATTTATGTAAGTGCGTTTGTACGTGTATGTTTGGGGGTCTGAAATGGACTAATCTACTTCACAATATTCCTTATGGGAAAAAATTCGGTCAGTACTGGCACCTGAACATACTACTGGAATGAAAAAAGTTCGTTAACCGGGGGTCCACTGTACTTGGTGTATATTTTTAGGCAATAGTAAATGACTCAGGCAGGTGGAAATGTTCACCTGTTCGTGTGATTATAACTGTTTGAGTACTATTTCAGTACCTAATATTAGTGTCAGAACAAAGATTGGCTATGAAATCACAAGAACTATTGTAAAGTGTAATTATCAGAACATAAAAAATATGTAAATTAAAATAAAAACGAGAAAGAGGTATATTGGCAACACCTCTGCAAGCGGCAAGAGTCGATGTTGCCATCAGGTGAGCATCCAGTGCCAACTTCATGAGCTTATATCTTGGTAAGTACTGACCCTAATTTTTTTTATCCTATAACCTGTAGAAAAATGCACTCTTCATTTAAAAAAAAAAAAGCCTTTTTTTTTTTTTTAAATATTCGGAGCTCTACACGAGTGAACATAGATCTACGTTTGGACAGTTTAAGGGTTAATGTATCCCTCCCTCAATTATGGTATTTGTGCCTGGGGATCAACCACAGCCAACCACCTTAAACCTTTAATAACCCAACAAAAAGCTTCTTTGCGGATGATTACCAGATCCTGTGCTAGACAGCACACCCTACCACTTTTCAAAAGCCTGAACTTGCTAAATATATGAGACAAACTCGTATTATTGTGCCTACTACATATACAGAACAATTAACTCCAATATAAACCCTCCACTTAAACTTCTTGATAGTTACAACAGAACACAGTCACAATACAAGGCATAAGGCACTCTTCGACATCCCTTGTGTCAGTCTCACACTATGCAAAAATGCCATGCACATAAAGGGCCCGAAAATCTGGAACTCACTACCTGAACTGGTAAAGGATCCCCTGACTACTTATAAATTTAAGACTTTGCTTAAAAATCATCTCATCTCTCAATACTAACCAAATCAACCAAAACAACTTCTAATCATTTATTATATTATGTGACCTCTAGTCTGTTAAACATCTGCCAATCCATGAAATATTACTGCTTGAACTATTAATTGTAATATTTTTATGAGGTGCAACTTCAAGGTTATTCTTATAAACTGCCACCTTGACTACCTTGCATTAGTTTTAAGATTAAATAAAGTTAACCACTATTATCTTGTCTAGTTTTAAGTAGTTAATTTGTACTAGGATTAGTCTGCCCAAAATGCCCCATCATGATAGTGGCTTTCTTTGTACTTAGCAAAGCAAAATTGTAATTACACATTGTAACCTTTACAAAGAAATAAAATCTTTATCTTTATCTTAATAATCCTATCTAAGAATTTGCATAACTATATTTCAATGTTTTCCATGAGGGAGCAACTCTTCAGCTGAAGTAATCCTGTACAGTAAACAGTAGAAAGTTACTGTTGTATTTATGGATTCTGGAAAAGATTCAGTTCTTCATGTAAATATTAATACTACTGCATATAATTTTTGAAATCTTGTGTTCTGTTTCCACAGTATGCAAATAAAATTTTCACTAATTTTATTTACTATTGTGATTATTTCTAGCCTGAAATTTGGCGAGTTGAGAACTTTGAACTGGAACCAGTAGATGAAAATGCTTTTGGGTTCTTCTTTGGTGGTGATTCCTATGTCATAAAGTATACCTATGAAGTCAGCGGAAATGAGCGTTACATCATTTACTTCTGGCAGGTGAGTTCAGTGAAGTCTGGGCAGTGCTTATAATATATGCAGTTAAAATCTAAACTATTTTTAGTTTTGGTCATTGCCTTTAATAACTTGTGAACTGAATTTAGGTATCTCGTGAATGATAATATACTGTATGTAGTAATCAGTCCAGTAGCGCAGCCAAAATTTCCATCTAGGATAAAGTGGGGCCTTATATCAGGATTTTAATCTGGGAGGATGCTTAAAAATCATAAGGTTTTGAAAAAATCAAAGAAATTGTCTATAGAAACGTGATTTTCAGTATGTATGTGAAATTTCTTAAACTACAATACTGCCTCTCCTCACTTAGCAATGTACTTGTTTACTGACGACTCGGACATACAATGGGTTCTCTGACCAGTATGCATATCTAAATAATGTATATTAGAGCTAATTTTCTCTATTCTGTTTATTATAATATACAATACACTGCTGTATAAACGTAAAAATATACCAGAAATGTTATAAATGGTGCAAAGATGGTTGATACAAACCCACTACCATTATAGTATGCTCCTCACTTGGTGACAAATTCGTTTACTGACGTGGTCTTAGGAACAGAACTCTGTCGTTAAGCGAGGAGAGGCTGTATTGTACTTTTGTGGTCAGCAATTATTGTAATGCAGTGAAAATTAGCCATTAATTGAAAAAAATATGAAGTACAGTCATCCAATGCCTAACAAAAGTTTGCTTTGTGGAATTTCAGTTAAAGACCATAAAAACACCTAGATCCCTTCCTCTGTTTAATGACCAACTAGTCTTGCGCAGCAACCAAATGTGCTGGATTCAAACTTTCCACCTTGATTCCTCATTTGATATTTTCACAACATCTCATTAAATATCATGCTAATCTGGCTAATATTGACTTTCCTTATGAGAAACTGAATGAGACTTTTTTGAATGAAATCTTATTTTTAGTTTTCATTTCAAGTGCCATGCACCAGGTTAAGGCAAAATGAACCCAGCCAGAGGAATTAAAACTAAATTTTATGTTTTTATTTATTGACTTTTGATCATTTTTTTTTTCGGTATATGACTCTACAGTACATGGGCAGTAAACTGGTATTTTTTTTTCATAAAAATTTGTTAGAAAATGTGACATTAAAAGATATTATCATAGGCTTACTTAATTTTTTTTTACAATATCTCATTAAATTTTGCTCTAGTCTGGCTTCTGTTAACTTGCATAAGAAAAATCAAACAAGGAAAAAAGAGATTTGAGTGCTGGAAATTTAATGAAACTATTTTGAATGAAATCTTATGGTTTGTTTTCATTTTGAGTGCCATCACCGAGTTAGGAAAGATGGACCCAGCCAGAGGAATTAAGATTGAATTTGATATTTTTTCCTCCAATAGGTTTTGATCAGTTTCATTTATTGTTTGTGCATGACTATATATGTGTTAGAAGCTTGTAGTTTTTGCAATAAACATTTATCAATAAATGTGAAATTTTATAAGATATTATCATAGGCTTAATTTTTTTTTCACAATATCTTATTAACCCTTTCAGGGTCCAGAGGCCAAATCTCAAAGTGTGCACCAGGGTCCAAGAATTTTTGAAAAAAAAAAAAAAAAAAAAAACTTACTGAATTAAAGATAATAATTTTTTGTAGGTAATAAAACAACATAAAATTTTTTTTGATCAGTAGTTACTGAGATATGGAGGCGTGAAGGTGACCCTTCAGTGACCTGGTGGCGGCAACATCCGCGACTTCCGTGAAGTCACATTATTTTATTTTAGGTTTTTGTTACTTTTTTCTTTTCTTTTCTAATAATTTTTTCCAGTAAGTTTTGTGGCCAATGAGACCAATATGATGTATAATTGTATACTCATTGTATTCAACACAATAACTGCACTAATTTGTTTATCATATTGTTTACAAAACTTGTTTACAAGTTTATTGTAAACAAAATAATGATGAAAATATTAGTGCAGTTGTATTGAATACAGTGGTACCATATAGTACCATATGGTACTATGGCACCCTATGGTACATAGTACCATAGGGTGCAATGGTACCATATGGTATAATACAGTTACTGTAATTACTACACAGCAGAACAATCAAAGGCACTTCTCAGAGCCAACAACAACATAACTATCTTTAACTACAATATCAGATCTTTAAGCAAGCATTACGATGACCTCCTAGCATTACTAAATTCCTTGCATGCCAATATGTCCATCATTACACTAACTGAAACCTGGCTAAAGCCTGATACTACAGATGTCTATACCATTCCTGGTTACACTGGCATACACAACTGTAGGCCAGACCAACAAGGGGGTGGCACAGCTATATACTACTCAGACCAACTAGAATGTATCACTAATACTTGCACAAGGGATGAACATGGGGAATATATAATAGCTAAATTCAAATCCAAATACCTACAAAAACCTCTCACAGTGATAAACATCTACAGAGTTCCACAATCAAACATTAGCCAATTTAGTCAAAACCTAGGAAGTATGATAACTGATGCATGCATGAACAAAGATCACTTACTATTCTCAGGTGACTTCAATATAAATCTCCTGCAAGACCAGGACCCACACGTAACTGAATTCACAAACACAATGAGTAACTGCATGTTGCTACCAACAGTAACAAAACCTACAAGAGTTACAGAGACTAGTGTTTCCCTACTTGACCACATCTGGACCAACACCATATCCCCTTTAAAATTAGGCATAATTACAGATAATACCACAGACCACTACCCTACTTTCCTCATAACAACTCTTGGTAAAATATCCCCAAGACACTACTAAAGTCACCTTCAGACTTCACAATGAGGCAGCCATTAATAACTTCACAACAGCAGTAACAAACATGACTGGCGCACTGAGCTAGAAAAAATACAGATATTGACGAATGTTTTAATAATTTTCTAAAAAAGACCCAATACCTCTATAACAAGCACTGCCCTAAAAAAACTAAACAGATGACAGCTAAGAGACTGAACAGTCCCTGGCTAACACCCAGCATTCTCAAATCCATAAATACAAAACACCGATATGAAAAGCAGTACAGAATGGGTCACATAACCAGAGACCAAACAAAACGTTACTCGTCAATCCTAACCAGCCTGATAAGAAGGGCAAAAAATTGTATTATGAGAACAGATTATCCAACTTACGAGGTGATATAAAAAAGACCTGGAAGACCCTATCAGAAATTCTGGAACAAAAAAGATATCACGAAATAGCGAATAAAATTAGCAAAATCAGATGAACCCCAACTCCCACCAACAGAAACTGCAAACAGACTCAATGATTTCTTCTCCACTATAGGACAAAACCTTGCCAATAAAATCCCAAGCTCAGATACCCCACCAAATGACTACCTCACTGGCAACTACCCGAACACACTGTTCCTAGCTCCGACTAACCCATACGAAGTCTCCCTTATTATCAACGCACTAAAAAACAAGGCAGGAGATTTAAATACCTTACCAACTTTTATATACAAAAAAGTGTCACAAGTACGTACTATCACCAATCATTGCAACACTCTTTAACAAATCCATTGAATCCTCCACCTTCCCTACAGCTCTCAAAATAGCAAGGGTCACCCCGATCCATAAAGGAGGAGACCAAACAGAGTTGAATAACTATAGGCCAATATCCAATTTACACCCTCTCTCAAAAATCTTCGAAAAATTAATTCATAAACGAATCTACTCTTACCTCATCTCCCAAAACATTCTCAACCCCTGCCAATTTGGATTCAGGCCTAATAAAAATACTAATGGTGCTATTATACACATGCTAGAACATATATACACTGCAATAGAGAAAAAAGAAGTCCCACTGGGGATCTTCATTGATTTACGTAAAGCTTTTGATACAGTTGACCATGACTTGCTCCACGTAAAATTGTCACACTATGGTATTAGAGGGCACTCCCTCAACTACCTCAAGTCATACCTCAGCAACAGAAGCCAATATGTGTACGCAAATGGGGCAAGCTCTTCCGCTCAACCAATTACAGTTGGTGTCCCACAGGGAAGTGTCCTTGGCCCTCTTCTCTTTCTCCTATACATAAATGACCTACCAAATGCATCGCAATTACTCAAACCCACACTTTTTGCAGATGACACTACATACGTCTTCTCTCACCCGAGCCCAGTCACACTAGCCAATACTGTAAACACCGAATTACAGAAAATATCTACCTGGATGAGGACTAACAAACTTACACTAAACATTGACAAAACCTACTTCATTCAGTTTGGTAACAGAGCTACAGATGTACCTCTTAACATAACGATAAACAGATCACCTATCACAAAGCTAACAGAGGGAAAATTCTTAGGAATCCACCTTGATAATAGACTCAAATTTCATACACATATACAACAAATTTCTAAGAAAATTTCCAAGACTGTAGGCATACTATCGAAGATACGGTACTATGTTCCACAGTCAGCCCTCCTGGCCCTTTATCACTCTCTTATTTACCCCTATCTCACCTATGGAATTTGTGCATGGGGCTCAACAACAATTAACCATCTCAGACCACTAATTACCCAACAAAAGGCTGCAGTTAGAATGATAACAAATTCTCACTACAGGCAGCACACTCCACCAATATTCAAAACACTCAACCTACTCACCATACAAAACATCCATACTTATTACTGCACCTATTACATACATAGAACACTTAACTCTGATATTAACCCTCCCCTCAAAACATCTCCTTGCCAACCTCAACAGAACACATGACCATAACACAAGGCACAGATCACTCTTTGATGTTCCTCGTGTCCATCTCACGCTATGCAAAAACTCAATGCACATAAAAGGCCCTAAAATCTGGAATTCATTACCTGTAAATATAAAAGAAACACTACCTGTTTTATAAATTCAAGTCTCTTCTCAAAGATCACTTACTCACTCAAAACCAAATAAATACTGTAATAACTGAACCTTATAATTGTATATCCTAAATGTTACTCACAATTATATCACACAAATGTTAAACCTAGGACCCAATCTAACTCTATTATTTTTTTAAATACACTACCTAACAGAATACTCCATTCGACTGAATGTACAGCAATGCATGCAACCATATGACCTGTCTTTGTAATACTCATTTGTGCTTTATTGTTATCTGTTTACAATAATGTTTTATCACTGATTTCATCATTGCTTAGTTAATCTTAAGTTAATTTTAAGCCAGCCCGTAATGCTATGCATATAAGTGGCTTTGGCATGCTGCTCTTACCTGTATTTTTTGTACCTCTGTATGTATGCTTAAATTACTAAATAAATAAATAAATAAATAAATAAAGTTATTGTTGGTATGAGAAGTGTGTTGTTCATATTGTTGGTGAAATCAGTTACAGGCTGATCATCTAGTAAGCCAAGGTTGATGTTGAAGTCTCCAGCTAAGAGAAGGTGGTGCTTATTCATTTGTCTGTTTGTTATTAGTGACTTTAATTTCTCACTGAAATTTGGGATGTTTGTGTGAGGTATCCGGTAAATGGCACCGATTGTTATAGGTGTCTTAAGGTTTTTTACAGTAAAATTAGCAAAAATGTATTCCCCATATTCATCACTAAAGCAAGTGGTGCTAATACAAGATAATTGATTAGAGTAATAGATTGCAATACCACCCCCAACTTGGTTTGGTCTGCAGTTGTGAATTGCTGTGTATCCTGGTAGAGGGTAGATATCTATTGTGTCCTGCTTAAGCCAGGTCTCAGTAAGAATAATGCAGGAGAAGGGTGTCTTTAGTGATTCAAGGAGTGCCAGGAGGTCATCATAGTGTTTGCTTAAGGACCTGATGTTGTAGTTAAGTACTGATAGACTTTTAGCATTGTTTAGGATAGTGCTGGCTTGTGATGCTGTGTAATAAAGGCAGTTACTTTCCAATAGGTTTTGATTGGGTGTCAGATTATGGAGGTTTAGATCAGGGTCAACGTGATCAATTATCTTCTAGGTTTAAATTATGGTTATTTATATCCTGAGTTATGTGTTGGGTACTAGTACTGATATCTGTAGTGGTGGGAAGCTTGGATAAGTACTATATAGCTAGAGTATTTTGGTCATATAGAGTATAGTCACTACTACACATAATGAAGTTGATGTTGTCTATGTGTTGTGCTGGAATGAACTAAAGTACAACTAGGTATAAACTAGTAATATAAAAATACAAATTTAAAATAGAACAAGACTCACTTGCAATTGCACTAAGGTCTAATATAATGACTTTTGTGGAGTCTATGTTTTGAGCTAGAATGAGCTATAGTCCTGGCACCGCCTCTTCACTGTGACTGAAGAAATGCTTCCTAACATCCCTGTGATTCATCTGTGTCTTCAACTTTCAACTGTGTCCCATCTCTGGAACGTCCTGTCTTTGTCCACCTTGTCAATTCCTCAGTATTTTGTATGTCGTTATCATGTCCCCCCATCTCTCCTGTCCTCCAGTGTTGTCAGGTCGATTTCCCATAACCTCTCCTCATAGGACATACCCCTTAGCTCTGGGGTTAGTCTTTTTTGCAAACCTTTGCACTTTCTCTAGTTTTTTACGTGCTTGGCTAGGTGTAGGTTCCAAACTGGTGCAGCATACTCCAATATGGGCCTAACGTACACGGTGTACAGGGTCCTGAACAATTCCTTATTAAGATGTTGGAATGCTGTTCTGAGGTTTGCTAGGCGCCCATATGCTGCAGTAGTTATTTGGTTGATATGTGCCTCAGGAGATGTGCCTGGTATTATACTCACCCCAAGATCTTTTACCTTGAGTGAGGTTTGTAGTCCCTGGCCCCCTAGACTGTACTCTGTCTGCGGTCTTCTTTGCCCTTCCCCAATCTTCATGACTTTGCACTTGGTGGGGTTGAACTCCAAGAGCCAATTGCTGGACCAGGTCTGCAGCCTGTCCAGATCCCTTTGTAGTTCTGCCTGGTCTTTGACCAAATGAATTCTTCTCATCAACTTCACGTCATCTGCAAACAGGGACACTTCAGAGTCTATTCCTTCTGTCATGTCATTCACAAATACCAGAAACAGCACTGGTCCTAGGACTGACCCCTGTGGGACCCCGCTGGTCACAGGAGCCCACTCTGACACCTCGCCACATACCATGACTCGCTGCTGTCTTCCTGACAAGTATTCCCTGATCCATTGTAGTGCCTTCCCTGTTATCCCTGCCTGGTCCTCCAGTTTTTGCACTAATCTCTTGTGTGGAACTGTGTGAAATGCCTTCTTACAGTCCAAGAAAATGCAATCTACCCACCCCTCTCTCTCGTATTACTGCTGTCACCCTGTCATATAACTCCAGTAAGTTTGTGACACAGGATTTCCCGTCCCTGAAACCATGTTGGCTGCTGTTGATGAGATCATTCCTTTCTAGGTGTTCCACCACTCTTCTCCTGATAATCTTCTCCATGATTTTGCATACTATACATGTCAGTGACACTGGTCTGTAGTTTAGTGCTTCATGTCTGTCTCCTGTTTTAAAAATTGGGACTACATTTGCTGTTTTCCATGCCTCAGGCAATCTCCCTGTTTCAGTAAATGTATTGAATATTGTTGTTAGGGGTACACATAGTGCCTCTGCTCCCTCTCTCAGGACCCATGGAGAGATGTTATCTGGCCCCATTGCCTTTGAGGTATCTAGCTCACTCAGAAGCCTCTTCACTTCTTCCTCAGTTGTGTGTACTGTGTCCAGCATTTAGTAGTAGTATAGTAGTATCTTTATTTACTACAAGTACATGTACATGGTATACAGTCCTAGCTGACAACAATGACATACTACCATATAGAAAGTCCCTTGTTATGCTCCACATTTCGGGCAAATTAGGTCAGTGTCCCAGGATGCGACCCACACCAGTCGACTAACACCCAAGTACCCATTTTACTGATGGGAAACATAGACAACAGGTGGAAAGAAACAGGTCCAATGTTTCTACTCTGGCTGGGAATCGAACCCAGGCCCTCGCCGTGTGAAGCGAGAGCGTTAACCACCACCTCTCCGTCTTTCTGGAGTCCCTTCTGTCTCCTCTGTGAACACTTCTTTGAATCTCATGTTGAGTTCCTCACATACTTCACGGTCGTTTCTTGTTGTCTCTCCTCCTTCCTTCCTTAGCCTGATTGCCTGGTCCTTGACTGTTTTGCTCCTGATGTGGCTATACAACAGCTTCGGGTCAGGTTTGGCTTTCGCTGCTATGTCGTTTTCATATTGTTGTTGGGCTTCCCTTCTTATCTGTGCATATTCATTTCTGGCTCTACGACTGCTCTCTTCTCCTGGGTCCTTTGCCTTCTATACTTCCATTCCCTAGCACACTTGGTTTTTGCCTCCCTGCACCTTTGGGTGAACCATGGGCTCATCCTGGCTTTTTCATTATTCCTGTTACCCTTGGGTACAAACCTGTGTGTGTGTGTGTGTGTGTGTGTGTGTGGGGACTTGTAAATGTGCTGAGTCAGGGTGTGGCTGCTGTCAAAATGACAGATTATACTATCACTCACTATCCTAACTGCCTGTCAACACCCATGGGTCCCATGTCTTCTTCTCCACCATCCCTCCTTTCTTCCTTCCTACCTACCTACCTACCTTCCTTCTTTCTTTCCTTTCCTTTCTTCCTACCTTCCTTCCTGCCTTCCTTTCTTCCTACCTTCCTTACTTTTTCTTTCCTTCCTTCCTTTCTTAATTCCTTCCTTCCTTCCTTGCTTCCTTCCTTACTTTCTTCCTTGCTTCCTTCCTTCTACCTTCCTTCATTCCTTCCTCCCTTCTGGTATCCTGCTTTCGGTCACAAGCTCCTCATAACCATGAAATTCATCTTCAGAGACACTTCCATCTGTGTTAGAGCTATCACTTAGGAAGAGAAGAGTCCTAGATTCACCGGGGAGTCAGATATTTCTTACCGCTAGGCATGCTGAACAAGGACTACTGAAATGGCATTCCCACACTGCACCACTGGCTCCCTTATTTTTTTTTATACTGCACACACTGATCATGGAGACCCATTCTCTCACATGTGGGCCTACCAGCTTTCTCCTGCTCGATTTGAAGATGCTAGAATTTTGGCTTTTTAATGCGTCGAAAACATTGGCTCATAAGACGTATATATACAGCCAAAACAGTCAAAGGGTTAATGAGGGGTCCGGTAATGAAAGGTTTTACTGTAATATTATAGCAGAGGATTGAAGTTACTCTTCAATCCTCTTTTGTGGCCTCTGTTGTTGCTGGAGAGCATACCTACAATAAATAGAACATATGTAGCTACTGTACAATCTGTTGATGTTGATTCTTCTTCATCCATTACAGTGCTGTAGTAATTTTTTCCTAGTATAACAAAAAAAATTAGTTGGCAAATTTCTGAATGTCATTTTTCCCCTAAGTCCCTCACTTCACATAAGACTAAAGAATAAGAAGGTACAATACTGTGACTGGAATAATGCACAACTAACCCACATATAGGTGAAACTTACAATGACATTTTGGTCCAACTTGGACAGTTAGCTAGTTAGTGGTCCAAGTTGGACTGAAATATCATAAGTTTCTTTCTCCTATATGGAGGTTATTTGTGTACTGTGTACACAAATTGTGGGCAATTTAGTCATGATTGTTCTAATTTTTTTTTTTTTGTTCTAGGGCTCTGCTAGTAGCCAGGATGAGAAGGCTGCATCAGCTATTCATGCAGTGCGTCTTGATAATGAGCTGTTTGGCAAAGCTGTACAAGTACGTGTTGTACAGGGCTATGAACCAGCTCACTTCCTAAGAATTTTCAAGGGTAAGTTAAGTAATGAATTTTTTATAGGTAATCAAGATATTAAAGATATTTGCTTAATTTTTTTTTTTTTTTTTTGACAAGTCGGCCGTCTCCCACTGAGGCAGGGTGACCCAAAAAGAAAGAAAATCCCCAAAAACAAAATACTTTCATCATTCAACACTTTCACCTCACTCACACATAATCACTGTTTTTGCAGAGGTGCTCAGAATACAACAGTTTAGAAGCATATATGTATAAAGGTACACAACATATCCCTCCAAACTGCTAATATCCCGAAACCCCTCCTTTAGAGTGCAGGCATTGTACTTCCCATTTCCAGGACTCAACTCCGGCTATACAGTGGACATACGGTTTACGATATTATTTCATTCCAGAAGTATGTTCAGGTGCCATTACTGAACGAATTTGTTCCTATAAGGAATATTGTGAATTAGATTAGTCCATTTCAGACCCCCAAACATACACGTACAAATGCACTTACATAAATACACTTACATAATTGGTCGCATTGGGAGCTGATCGTAAAGCAGGGGTCCACTGTATAAAAATAACCGGTTTCCCTGAATCCCTTCACTAAATATTACCCTGCTCACACTCCAACAGATCGTCAGGCCCCAAATACCATTCGTCTCCATTCACTCCTATCGAACACGCTCATGCACGCCTGCTAGAAATCCAAGCCCCTCACCCACAAAACCTCCCTTACCCCTTCCTTCCAACCTTTTCAAGGACGACCCCTACCCCACCTTCTTTCTCCTACAGATTTAAATGCTCTCCATGTCATTCTACTTTGATCCATTTTCTCTAAATGACCAAACCACCTCAACAACCCTTCTTCAGCCCTCTGACTAATACTTTTATTAACTCCACACCTTCTCCTAATTCCCACACTCCTAATTTTCTGCATAATATTTACACCACACATTGCCCTTAGACCGCCTCCTCGCTGCTGCATTCACAACCCAAGCTTCACACCCATATAAGAGTGTTGGTACTACTATACTTTCATACATTCCCTTCTTTGCCTCCATAGATAACATTTTTTTGACTCTGCATATACCTCAATTCACCACTCACCTTTTTTCCCTCATCAATTCTATGATTAACCTCATCCTTCATAAATCCATCCGCCGACACGTCAACTCCCAAGTATCTGAAAACATTTGCTTCTTCCATACTCCTCCTCCCCAATTTAATATCCAATTTTTCTTTATCTAAATCATTTGATACCCTCATCACCTTACTCTTTTCTATGTTCACTTTCAACTTTCTACCTTTACACACACTCCCAAACTCGTCCACTAACCTTTGCAATTTTTCTTTAGAATCTACCATAAGCACAGTATCATCAGCAAAAAGCAACTGTGTCAATTCCCATTTTGTATTTGATTCCCCATGATTTAATCCCACCCCTCTCCCGAACACCCTAGCATTTACTTCTTTTACAACCCCATCTATAAATAAATTAAACAACCATGGTGACATTACACATCCCTGTCTAAGACCTACTTTTACCGGGAAGTAGTCTCCCTCTCTTCTACACACCCTAACCTGAGCCTCACTATCCATTTAGTAACTTACCACCTATTCCATATACTTGCAACATCTGCCACATTGCTCTACTATCCACTCTATCATATGCCTTTTCTAAATCCATAAATGCAATAAAAACTTCCCTACCTCTATCTAAATACTGTTCACATATATGTTTCAATGTAAACACTTGATCTACACATCCCCTACCCACTCTGAAACCTCTTTGTTCATCCGCAATCCTACATTCTGTCTTAACTCTAATTCTTTCAATTATAACCCTACCGTACACTTTTCCTGGCATACTCAGTAAACGTATTCCTCTATAATTTTTACAATCTCTTTTGTCCCCCTTCCCTTTATATAAAGGGACTATACATACTCTCTGCCAATCCCTAGGTACCTTCCCCTCTTTCATACATTTATTAAACAAAAGTACCAACCACTCCAACACTATATCCCCCCCAGCTTTTAACATTTCTGTCATGATCCCATCAGTTCCAGCTGCTTTACCCCCTTTCATTCTATGTAATGCCTCACATACCTCCCCCACACTTACATTCTGCTCTTCTTCACTCCTGGAAGATGGTATACCTCCCTGGCCAGTGCATGAAATTACTGCCTCCCTTTCTTCCTCAACATTTAAAAGTTCCTCAAAATATTCTCGCCATCTACCTAATACCTCCATCTCCCCATCTACTAACTCCCCTACTCTGTTTTTAACTGACAAATCCATACATTTCCTAGGCTTTCTTAACTTGTTTAACTCGCTCCAAAATGTTTTCTTATTTTCATTAAAATTTCTTGACAGTGCCTCTCCCATTCTATCATCTGCTCTCCTTTTGCACTCTCTCGCCAATCTCTTCACCTTTCTTTTACTCTCCATATACTCTGCTCTTCTTATAACACTTCTGCTTTGTAAAAACCTCTCATAAGCTAACTTTTTCTCTTTTATCACACCCTTTACTTCATCATTCCACCAATCACTCCTCTTTCCTCCTGCCCCCACCCTCCTATAACCACAGACTTCTGCCCCACATTCTAATACTGCATTTTTAAAACTCATCCAACCCTCTTCAACCCCCCCACTACTCATCTTTGCACTAGCCCACCTTTCTGCCAATAGTCGCTTATATCTCACCCGAACTTCCTCCTCCCTTAGTTTATACACTTTCACTTCCCTCCTACTTGTTATTTGCTTAATACTGGAATGTTTTCATTTGTAAATATCATAATGCAACCTTTGTGAAAAATGTTTTATTTGGTTGGATGTGTCAAGTTTGTCATCTGGGTCATTTTATTTGGGGTTCTATCTATTGTCAGTGATGGGGTTACATTGCTTATGGTCTTCTCTTAAAAAAAAAAAAAGATGAAACATTATAATTTAAGGAATATATTGTGCTCAATTTGTTAAAAAGTTTAATTTTTGGTTTAGTCCCATTATGTTGGCTGGAACAATTTACAACTTTTTTTTTTTTTTAATAAATCAGCCATCTCCCACCGAAGCAGGGAGACCCAAAAAGAAAGAAAATCCCCAAAAAGAAAATACTGTACTTTCATCATCATTCAGCACTTTCACCACACTCACACATAATCACTGTTTTTGCATAGGTGCTCAGAATACAACAGTTTTGAAGTATATACATATAAAGATACACAACATATCCCTCCAAACTGCCAATATCCCAATCCCCTCCTTTAAAGTGCAAGCATTGTACTTCTAGGACTCAAGTCTGGCTATATAAAAATAACCAGTTTCCCTGAATCCCTTCACTAAATATTACCCTGCTCACACTCCAACAGCTCGTCAGGTCCCAAGTACCATTCGTCTCCAATCACTCCTATCTAACACGTTCATGCACGCTTGCTGGAAGTCCAAGCCCCTCGCCCACAAAACCTCATTTACCCGCTCCCTCCAACCTTTTCGAGGACGACCCCTACCCCGCCTTCCTTCCCCTACAGATTTATAAGCTCTCCATGTCATTCTACTTTGATCTATTCTCTCTAAATGACCAAACCACCTCAACAACCCCTCTTCTGCCCTCTGACTAATACTTTATTAACTCCACACCTTCTCCTAATTTCCACACTCCGAATTTTCTGCATAATATTTACACCACACATTGCCCTTAGACAGGACATCTCCACTGTCTCCAACCGTCTCCTCGCTACAGCATTTACAACCCAAGCTTCACACCCATATAAGAGTGTTGGTACCACTGTATACTTTCATACATTCTTCTTTGCCTCCATAGATAATGTTTTTTTTCCTCCACATATACCTCAACACACCACTCGCCTTTTTTCCTTCAGTTCTATGATTAACCTCATCCTTCATAAATCCATCCGCTGACATGTGAACTCCCAAATATCTGAAAACATTCACTTCTTCCATACTCCTCCTCCTCTAATTTGATATCCATTTTTTCTTTATCTAAATCATTTGATACCCTCATCACCTTACTCTTTTCTATGTTCACTTTCAACTTTCCACCTTTACACACACTCCCAAACTCGTCCGCTAACCTTTGCAATTTTTCTTTAGAATCTCCCATAAGCACAGTATCATCAGCAAAAAGTAACTGTGCCAATTCCCATTTTGTATTTGATTCCCCATAATTTAATCCCACCCCTCTCCCGAACACCCTAGCATTTACTTCTTTTACAACCCCATGTATAAATATATTAAACAACCATGGTGACATTACACATCCCTGTCTAAGACCTACTTTTACTTGGAATTAGTCTTCCTCTCTTCTACACACCCTAACCTGAGCCTCACTATCCTCAGAAAAACTCTTTACAGCATTTAGTAACTTATTACCTATTCCATATACAGTGGACCCCCGGTTAACGATATTTTTTCACTCGAGAAGTATGTTCAGGTGCCAGTACTGACCGAATTTGTTCCCATAAGAAATATTGTGAAGTAGATTAGTCCATTTCAGACCCCCAAACATACACGTACAAACGCACTTACATAAATACACTTACATAATTGGTCACATTCGGAGGTAATCGTTATGCGGGGGTCCACTGTACTTGCAACATCTGCCACAATGCTTCCTTATCCACTATATCATATGCCTTTTCTAAATCCATAAATGCAATGAAAACTTCCCTACCTTTATCTAAATGCTGTTCACACATATGCTTCAATGTAAACACTTGATCTACACATCCCCTACCCACTCTGAAACCTCCTTGCTCATCCGCAATCCTATTTTCTCTTGCGTCTAATTCTTTCAGTAATAAACCTACCGTACACTTTTCCTGGTATACTCAGTAAACTAATTCCTCTATAATATTTACAATCTCTTTTGTCCCCCTTCCCTTTATATAAAGGAACTATACATGCTCTCTGCCAATCCCTAGGTACCTTCCCCTCTTTCATACATTTATTAAAAATACCATCCACTCTTAACACTATATTCCCCCCTGCTTTTAACATTTCTGTTATGATCCCA